GGCTTTCATCTGCCGAAGTTTCAGAACTTCAAAACCCTTGCTTTAAAAAGGTCTCAGTTGCACCCATTGGAGATACTGTTTCCTGATTAACTAGTTCATGCTTATTCTCTCTAAGTCAGACGATATCTCAGCTTCTGAATTTGAGCTCTCAGTGTTGGCAAAATTTTCCTGGAACCTTAATTAACATGCTGCAATGGCATTGCGCTGATTTCTTTCTCTGTCTGAATATTACATTCCCGCAAATCTTCGGCAGACGTCGTCATGCTGCTACGCGCCCAATGACCGGAATCAGAGAAACCAATTCTGATTGCTGACATTTCATAATCCGCCAGTTTCACAATAACCTGCGTGGCTCTTGGCAACTCGTACTACGACTGAGCCGTCACAGCTTTCGACAGCATCAGTACCGCGAGGGCAAGCGATTGCGTATAATAGAACGGTATCCAACCATCCTCATTTTTCATCTAGGCGTGGGATCGGCAACCGCGTCATGAAAAGTTCAAAAAAGTCAGCGACTTTCCTAAAAAGGTTTTAACCAGGCCTAGTTAATTTGACTAGTTGAAATAGATCAGCATGATGTATGATGACAACGTAGGCAATTAGGCTAAACTCTAATGATTCCGTTTAAGAGAAAACCAGAAGACCGAAGAAACGATGATGCGACATTACAGAAATCTTATGAAGTTGCATTTGATAACTCAACATAAAATAAAATACTCCGGAATATGCACAAAATTAATTCATGCAAGAGACATATACTAATAAGAAAATGAGCACAGCGGCCTGTTCTATTCAATGTGATAAATATTTTCCAGTTTTAAAACTTGGCAGAGCGAGTATGAATCCAGAACAATTGTTTTCACTTGAGCAACGAATTTGTCCCACCATGTTTCGGAGTAACAGATTGAGAAACGGATAACATTTCATTGATCTATGAGCAACGGGAGCAATACAACGTTGTAGTTTTGTCGTGCTAGAGCCTGTTAATTTTATTGTGTGTGCCCTGATGATAGATATTGTGATGTGGTCCAAAACAAAATAATCCGGCTCGTCTTCGCCCATTATACCGGAAGAGCTTCTGTTCCGAATACTTCGTACTACAAACAATGGCACTGAAATGACATGGAATTTCAAAAACATTGGGACAATAATCTTCGAAGTATATGCTCTGCGGATGAAACTCGTCCTGGCCTACATGCTAGCTGACAAATCAGCACAATTTCAACTCATTAATTAAAAAATATCATAAATGGGCATAGAAGTATATAATTATTGGAAAAATTTTTAGGAAAAAGTTTCCTGATTTAATCATTATAGAAACGCAGAAAATTCGTTGAACTACAGTCTAACTAACGTATTCAAACCCCTCACTCCGGATAATTGCCACGTTGCAATCATAAGTTCACGCACAAAGGAGTTACGTTGAACCTGACTAGATAGATTACCTTAGCTGTCTTGTAATTATGATATTTCGTTATTAATATTCTAAAAAGTTAGTGACATTTGACTATACAGTCGTAGGAGTACAAAGAAAATAGCTGGTTCACCAATTGAACATATGAATATTTGTTTACAGTTGTCCACTAAGATTTTCAAGTTCAGTGTGCGAATGCGCTACCAGTAAAATCATTGCGACTGCGTATTAGTCGTAAGGATTGTGTTCACCTTCCTGCTGTAAGCATCGTTCCAAGCGTTTGGTGCAAAATGGCAGCGACACTACAACGAGGTGCTTCTGGGGCTCTGATGTTCGACGAATTTGGGACGCCATTTATCATTCTCAAGGACCAGGAAAATAAGAAACGAGTGTCCGGCATCGAGGCCCTGAAGGTAGATCGTTTTGTACTCCTATTTTCAGTGTTAGTCATTATTTTTCACGAAATAATCATGTAACCTACAGTGCTTCACTTTCAATGTTATATTTGATATGCTGTAACATTATTTTACTCATGGGATCGGCTGCGATTCCATGGAGTCTAAGATATAGTTCTGTCAAAGACGGTGGATTCACATTGCTTGTAGTCTTGTGAATTAAGATTATCTGTTCCCACCGATTTCAAAAATAGAATCAGCATCGGATCATGAAACGTTTAGACACGGGGTTTTCAAATCGTTGTTTCAGTAAAGTAGTGACGAATAAAGAGCGATGGAAACTGACTTCATTAAACTATCATATTTCTTGAAGAACAAGGTGAGTATGGGTTCTGCTTGCTGTACATGCTTGAACTCGCTTTCTAACCATTGTCCCTAAGTCGCTCAGCACTTCTATTTGGCAAACTGAGATTCATATTGAATTCAGCAGAGTTATTTCTTTTAAAATTCTTCCGAAAGCAAATGGTTTTATGTCCTAGTCTTCGCGAAATTTTACGCATTATGAGGCACGTTGAATACACAGATACACTTTGTGCAAATATTGATATTTTATTGTTAGAAGTAGATGACATGAACCCCCTTGAAAGGTTATAATTTCAGTTGCTTTCATTTGCAGTGAATCTGCACTGGGATGCTTCACACAACGTTCTGTACAATCAGCATAATGGATTAGTAACAGTTAGCTGCTATTAATAGCGTAATGCTTATTTTGCTGAATCCTTCCCTCTGAAACTTTCCACCTAGTTTCAGGAATAGTACTTAGTTTCTAAGGCTGTGGATAAAAATATCGGTAATATCTGCTGTGTTGCAGTTGTTATTATGACATTCTCACTGTTTCTTTCACCCAGAAGACCTCAATGCTCTGCCTGCCGAGAGTTGCTTCTATGCCAGTTGCGTTAAATATTACTACCGAAAGATTTGGTCGATTTCACAGAGGACTGTACTTGCACTTGCCTTTGTTCAACTTGTTCATTCTTATTTCTGACCATCCCTTGTTTTGAGCGTGGTACAGTTCTTTTGCGACCTGTGAAAATGTGCAGTCCCTGAAAACGATCCCTGTTTGAAACAGAAAATGGGTCCATTTTCATTTTTCGTTCTAGTAAATTCCAGGTGAGCATCACTAAAATCAAAGGTTGATGTATCCTTTGAAACACAGGAAAAAATCAAAGGGTTGCCCTCCCGCTTGAGCTGCTGTGATGAAACTACTTAAGGTAGATATGTAGTAATGAGAAAGAAGAAAAGTTCGTAATTGTTGGGAGGATAGTCTCCTTTACAAGTCAGCAAATGTTTCAAGCGTTTTTTACTGAAACAAAAGACAAATACTTTGAGGCGTCCACTTATCTGCTCCAAGCTTTTCTTGCATTCATTTTATGTCTCCTTGTCAAGATCTATCAAAGTGGCGTTTTACGAGGATCTCTAACATGTAGTTTCAAGATTCCCGAACTTTCTCTGATACTGAATTATAAGCTTTTGTTTATTGGCAAGATTAAGATCTGTCAAGCTCACTCAGATCGCATCTCTTTTGCGTGTATAGTTAGTAGTCATTAGGCATTTCAGAAGTCAGCCATCAGATCTCGCGTTACCCATTTACTGGTAATTAAAGCATTGTTGAAGGTCCACACTTTCAGCTTTGACATATGAAGAGATAGCTCATTTAAAGCTATATATTGGTTTTGTTCGACAACGTTCTGTCTGGTTTGTTATTTTATTGTCTCTTTGTGACATCTTTAAATCGTATTAATACTGTTTTATTTAAGTATAACAAATGATTCAAAGTTTCATTTCATTTAAATGCCAAATTTAATTCGTGAGACTGACAGTCCTTCCTTCTTGCTACCAAATCTGTTGCAACAGGCAGAACATCCGCTTTCGTTCTATAAGGATAATTGCAGCAGCTCTGAAAGGGGGCATGTATTCGAGTTAATCAACAATATGTTAAAACCTGCAAATGAGAAAACAGAAAATTTTTTACTGGGAACATGTTAATCTACGATTTTGCTTTGCTCTCTTCGTTTTGTCGTAAGATGTCATATTCTAGGATATATAAACTTTAACTGTTATGAATATTTGGGGAAAAGGATTAAAATCCAGTCGAAGAAGAAGGAAAGGATGATTATGATGACTTATATGCAGGTTGTTAATGGCAGAGAGGATATTATGTACTATCACTTGGTTTTGCAGCGGATCTGACTCTCTCACAGTGTTAGAGAAAAAGGATAAAACTGATCGCTAGCATAACTTTAGCGGAGCTGGAAAGGTGTTGAAATGCGGTTACCATGTTATAGGAATATTGCAC